ACTGAAAATGTCGAGACAGTGTGTGACTGCAATAAAGAAGGCCAATGCTATGCTGGGGATTATTAGGAAGGGTATTGAAAACAGATCAGCCAATATAATAATGCCCCTATATAAACAAATGGTGAGACCTCATTTGGAATACTGTGTGCAGTTCTGGGCACCACACCTTAAAAAGGATATTATAGCTTTGGAAAAAGTGCAGAAAAGGGCAACTCGAATGATAAAAGGGTTGGAACACTTTCCCTATGAGGAAAGGTTAAAGCGCTTAGGGCTCTTTAGCTTGGAGAAAAGACGACTGAGGGGTGACATGATCGAGGTTTATAAGATTATGCATGGGAAAGAGCAGGTAGAGAAAGAGGTACTTTTCTCCCTTTCTCACAATACAAGAACTCGTGGGCACTCCATGAAACTGCAGAGCGGTCGGGTTAGAACGGATAAAAGGAAGTACTTCTTCACCCAAAGAGTGATTAACACATGGAATTCACTGCCACAGGAAGTGGTGGGAGCTACAAGCATGGACGGCTTCAAAAGGGAATTAGATAAGCATATGGAGCAGAGGTCCATCAGTGGCTATTAGCCACAAGGTATAGCTAGGGGCTCTGGGGCAAGTGATGCTCTGTCTTCTTGGTGCTTGGGGGGGGGTCAACAGTGGGAGGGCTTCTAATGTCCTGGCACCACTGCTGGACCTCCTGATGGCACTGGTATTTCTGGCCACTGTGTGACACAGAGTGTTGGACTGGATGGGCCTTTGGCCTGATCCAACATTGGCGTCTCTGATGTTCTGACCATTGGCCCGATCCAGCAGAGCTCTTCTGGTGTTCTTAGGAGCCATGGCCCCTCCCATGGCCTCTGCTTGCATATGTGGAAGGGAAATGTCACAAAGACTCCAGAAATCTCCAGGGCTCACTCCTTAGAAAATTGGGCATGGGGTGGAGAGAGTTGACAAAGAGTAGTTCCCCCCCCCTCTCCCAAAAGACTAGAACTTGAGGGCATCCCATGAAGCTGACGGGCAGTAGGTTCGGGAGGGACAAAAGGAAACACTACTTTACACAGTAGAAAAGAGGAAGAGTCCAGTAGCAACTTAAAGACTTAACCAAATCTGTGTCAGAGCTTTCGTGAGTTGCTGCTCATTTCTTCGGATACCAAAAGATAGGAGCCGTGACTCACCAAAGCTCATCCCCTGCCACCGATTTTGGTAGTCTTTAAGGTGCTAATGGACTCTTCCTCTTTTCTACTGCTGCAGACAGACTAACACAGCTACCCATCTTGATCTACTTTACACACAGAGTGATTAAAATGTGGAATTTGCTGCCAGAGGATGTTGTGATGGCCTCAGGAATAAGCAGCTTGAAAAGGGGATGAGATAAGTTATCAATGGCTACTAGCCATGATGGCTGAGGGGAACCTCCACATTCAGGGGCACTAATCCTCTGAATCCCAGGGCCAGGAGGCAACACCAGGGAAATACCTCAGCCTCTCTGCCCTGTTGTTGGCCCTCCAGAGGGACGGGCTGGCCCCTGTGTGAGACGGGAGGCTGGGCTAGAGGGACCCTCCCTGGTCTGGCCCAGCAGGGCTCTTCTGATGCTCTTATGTTCCGTCTAGTGAAGACATAACTGAGTAATGCTGTGAAACGTTTCCCCACTCTGAGAAATGGGGAGCAGAAATCATTTAATGTTGGATGCTTTGTATAACAAGCAAACCGAGTGGCCCGCCTTCTCTTCCTCTGCCCACCCGAAGTTGGAGACTGCCATAGAAGGGAGGGGGGAGGGCCTCGAGAGAAGAGAGGAGGAGCACGCCCCCCCATACCCCTAGAGCCACCAGTGTGTCCCCCATGTTGTACCACCCTCACCCGTCATCTGGAAGGTACAAGGGGGATGGGAGGTAGTGGCAGATGGAGGGGGCGTTATGTGGGCAGGGAGGGCAGGTGGGCAGAGGTGCCAGGGTTGCCTTCTGGCTCTGACCTTTAGAACTGGCACCTGAGTCCTAAACCTTGAAGGACTCCAGAAGCAGAGAGTTGGGCACCTAAGGCAGAAAATCCACATGGTAATAGCGGAATGATAAGGTGGTTCCGACTGCCTGTGGACTCGCCTCCTTGCAACAGCCCTCCTCTCCACCTGTCGAACAGTCAGGCTGCCCCTGTCAGGGGGAGTGGGCATTTGCACTCGGGGCTGCAGAGAAGGGCAGGACAGAGAGCTGGCAGAATGTCTCCAGTCTGGGACTCCCCCTCCCCCCCCCCGCATGCCCCCCAGGTTCCCCCCAGAGAGAGAGAGCTCAGAGTGGGCCGGAGTCTCTTTATTTCAAATGAGCCAGATGCAAAAGCTGCCCTGTGAGACAGAGGGGGACGGGGAGCTGTGCTGTGCTGGTGTGAGGAGGGGGGAGGTCTTCACTGGCCACCGAGTAACGCCTCCTGCTCCCACCGAGTCCAGAGAGTGCGCAGGATCATGGCCAAGCAGGCTTTCTGCCTCTGCGCCAGCAAGTCTCTGTTGTGCAGCCAGGCGGCTCCGTGTTGGCTGGCGGGCAGGAGGCAGAAGAGGGGCGGAAGCCCGAGAGTCCACTCTGCCACCGCTGGGCAGCATGCCAGCCTCCGCCTGGGCCAGCATCCCTGCTCGGCTCACGGCTGGCTCCAGTCGCCTGCCCCCGAGGAGTGTCCCCGCGGCGTGGGATGGGCCCTACTGCTCCGGACATTCCAGGATGTCATACTTCAGGTAGCCCACCTTGTCCACTTGGTACTGTGGGGTCATTCGCCAGCAGAAGGGGTTCCGGCAGAAGTGGTACTTGCCTGCGGGGGGGAGGGGGGTAAGAGGGAGAGCAGTCAGAGAAGAGACGTGGGAAGCAGCGAAGGAGCCCCCCCCCCAGGGCCTGGAAGGGGCCTGTGGACTGAGCAACCCCCTCCCTCGTGAGACAAGAGCGCTGGGCCCAGGACCAGTGTTCCCTCTAAGTTGAGTGAGTGAGCTAGCTGACAGTTTTTTACCCTCCGGCTCACACGTTTTTGTCTTAGCTCAGGAAGGAGGGCTCCAGAGCAAACCTCAGTAGCCAAATCGCTGGCTCGCAACTTCAATGCCAGTGGCTCACAAGACCCCGCAGCTGAGAGGGAGCCTTGCTCAGGACAGAACACAGTGGCGGGGGGGGGGGACGCGAGGCACCCCTGGCTTCCTCTGGCCGACTGCCTCACCTTGGTACAAGAAGATATTCTGTGAGTCAAGAGGGACTCCAGAGAAGACATCATCAGTGCGTTTTGGGTAGCCCTGGTCCACCCGCTCGGCTTTGGCATCCAGCCTGGAGAAGGAAGCAGAACTGAGCAGGAGGCGGCTGACGGGGGGGGGGGGGTCCTCTTCCTCTTCCTCCTCCCTGCTCCCCCACCCTTCCCTTCCTTCCCAGTCCTGCAGGAGGGGGCACGAGGCAGCTTCTCCCCTCCACGGGGGGGGGGTCTAAAAGGGTCCTCCTGGGTTTCTTTGGGAGTTCAGTGTTCACATGAAGCGGCCTTCTGCCGGATCGGACCCCGCCCACTGGTCCGTCAGGGTCAGTATTGCCTGCTCAGACTGGCAGCCGCCTCCAGGGTCTCCGGCAGGGAAGGGCTTCTTTCTCTCATCATCGACTGCCGGATCCTTTTAACTGGAGAGGCTGCCGGGGACTGAACCTGGGACCTTCTGCATGCAAAACAGATGCTCCAGCCGCTGAGCCACGGCCCCTCCCAAACAACAGAAGATGTGAATACATGAAGCCCTCTTCTACAGGATCAGACCCCTCCCCTGGGCCCATCGAAGTCAGTCTTGTCTACTCAGGCGGGCAGCAGCTCTCCGGGGTCTCAGGCAGAGAAGTGTGTTTCCCATCACCTCCTGCCTGGTCCTTTTCACCTGGAGATGCCGCCAGGGACTGAACCCGGGACCTTCTGCATGGGAAACTGATTCTAAAGTCTATTCTACAGTCAAGCATTTAGGCCCTACATGAAGCTGCCTTCCACTGAATCAGGCCCTCGGTTGTTGCCTATTCAGACTCACAGCCGCTCCCCAGGGTCCCAGGCAGAGAGAGGCCTTTTCACATCGCCTCCTGCCTGGTCCTTTCAATGCCGGGGATTGAACCTGGGACCTTCTGCACGGGGATTGAACCTGGGACCTTCTGCACGCCAAGCAGAGGCTCTCACCACTGGGCCACAGCTCCTCCTCATGGCTCTCCAGGGTCTCAGGCTGAGGTCTTTCCCATCACCTACTGCCACAATCCCGAAGACGGGAGGCTGTGGAGCTGTTCGGCTTGACAGCATCCGTTCTCAGGAGGGTCCACTGGGTAGGCTGCTCACGCCCAGGGGAACCAGGGGTGGGCCGTTTCCCCTCCTCCCTCCTCTGAGACTGGCCTGCCAGCCCTTCTCCCGGCAGTGAGGAGATGCAGCTGCCGTCTCCAGAGGCAGGCCCCATAGAGTCTAGGGTGGCCAGCGCCCCAGCGGGGGGCTTTGGGGGGGCGTTACTGGAGGGGGTGGGGCGTCCCTAATGTGATGACGTCACACAGAGGTGATGTCATCGTGTTGGGGAGCGGCTGGCGGGCAGGAAGGAGGCCGCCAAATCAGGTGGCCCCCATCAAACTGGAGGGTGGGGGTCTGGAAACCCTAAAGGATTCCTCTAGCCAGGCCTGGTCTGGCCTGACTGGCCATGGGTTTCCAGGGCCAGAGAGGAGGAGGAAGAAGAAGAAGAAGAAGAAGAAGAAGAAGAAGAAGAAGAAGAAGAAGAAGAAGAAGAAGAAGAAGAAGAAGAAGAAGAAGAGGAAGAAGAGGAGGAAGAAGAGGAGGAAGAAGAGGAGGAAGAAGAGGAAGAAGAGGAGGAAGAAGAGGAGGAGGAGGAGATTGGATTTATACCGTGCCCTTCACTACCCAAGGGAGTCTCATATCTGCTCACAAACTCCTTCCCCTTCCCCTCCCCACAACAGATACCCAGTGAGGCGGGTGGGGCTGAGAGAGCTCTTGACAGAAACTGCTCTTTTTTAAGAACAGCTGTGCCAGAACTATGGCTTGCCCAAGGTCATCCAGCAGGTGCAAGTGGAGGAGTGGGGGAATCAAACCCGGTTCTCCCAGATTAGAGTCCGTGCACTTAACCACAACACCAAACTGGAGAGATTGGATTTATACCCCGCCCTTCACTACCCAAGGGAGTCTCAGAGCGGCTTACAAACTCCTTTCCCTCCCCCTCCCCACAACAGACACCTTGTGAGGGAGGTGGGGCTGAGAGAGCTCTTCACAGAAGCGGTTCTTTTTCAAGAACAGCTCTTATCAGAGCTATGGCTTGCCCAAGGTCATCCAGCCAGGTACAAGTGGAGGAGTGGGGAATCAAACCTGGTTCTCCCAGATTAGAGTCCGCGCACTTAACCACAAGAAGAAGAAGAACAGATTGGATTTCTACCCTGCCCTTCACTACCCAAAGGTGTCTCAGAGCGGCTGACAAACTCCTTTCCCTTCCCCTCCCTGCAACAGACATCCCGTGAGGCAGAGAAGCCTCACTCCCAAGCCTCACTCCTTGAGATGCCAGGTACAGTAAGCATGCACCCGTTCAGGCATGGCTCCTCCCCGGAGCTGGGGGGCGGGGGGAGCATTGGGAAAGGAGCCCCCACATTGGTTGGCTAGCAGTATCAAGGGAGACTGGCATATGCCCGTCCACCTTCCTTCTGCCCTTTGCCTGTGGCATACTGTGGTTCGGACTGCGTGGGCAGTGCTGGGGGCAGGGGGTGGCATTGCAGAAGGGCAACTCGAATGATAAAAGGGTTGGAACACTTTCCCTATGAGGAAAGGTTAAGGCGCTTAGGGCTCTTTAGCTTGGAGAAACGACGACTGAGGGGGTGACATGATTGAGGTTTACAAGATTATGCATGGGAAAGAGCAGGTAGGGAAAGAGGTACTTTTCTCCCTTTCTCACAATACAAGAACTCGTGGGCACTCCATGAAATTGCTGAGCGGTCGGGTTAGAACAGATAAAAGGAAGTACTTCTTCACCCAAAGAGTGATTAACACATGGAATTCACTGCCACAGGAAGTGGTGGCGGCTACAAGCATGGACGGCTTCAAAAGGGAAATAGATAAACATGTGGAGCAGAGGTCCATCAGTGGGTATTAACTACAAGGTATAGATAGGGACTCTGGGGCAAGTGATGCTCTGTCATCTTGGTGCTTGGGGGGGTCAACAGTGGGAGGGCTTCTAATGTCCTGGCCCCACTGGTGGACCTCCTGATGGCACCTGGTATTTCTGGCCACTGTGTGACAGGGAGTGTTGGACTGGATGGGCCTTTGGCCTGATCCAACATTGGCATCTCTTATGTTCTTATGTTCTTACTAGCAGTAAAGCCCGTTGTGAAAGCAATACAACGAGATCTAGAAAGAGGATCTGGGGGAGTGCTCTGGCTTTGGGCAATCACTGTCAATTTGCTGTGGTGACCTCAGCAGGGTATAATGACAGAGTCCACTGTTTTCTCCAGAGGAACTGATCTCTGCTACCTGAAGAGCAGTTGTAATTGTGAGTAATCTGTAGCCCTCACCTGGAGATTGGCAACAATTGTTACCCAGGACAAAATGGCTGGTTTGGAGGGTGGAGTCTATGGCAGTGTACCTGTCTGAGGTCCCACCCCTCCTCAAACCTCACCCTCTTCAGGCTCCATCCCTCAAGTCTCCAGGAATTTCCCATCTGGAGTTGGCAACCCTATCAGGATTGGCCCCAATGTGGTTTCTCCCAAAGGCCAAAGTAGGTGACAGGACCAAGCTTAGATGCCTACCAACAGGCACTGAGGGGAATGTAGGGTTGCCAGCTCTAAGGAGGGAAATACCTGGAGGCTTGGGGGGTGGATTCTGTAGAGGGCCGGGCAACGGAGGCATCGGCCTTCCGTCGCCCGCCTTGCCCCCCCAATCTTGGCCCGGGCGCCCGCGGCTCCTGCCAGCGGCCGCCCGACTCCAACCCCCCCGCGGCCACTCCAGCCAGGCGACGGAGGCATCGGCCTTCCGAAGTCCAATCAGCTTCCATATGCAAAAGACCTTGAAGGTTCCATATGCAACTGACATTCCAACTGCCTTGCGGGGAGGGGGGTGAGTTTGAAGTGTGGAATGCAGTGAAGTCCAATCAGCTTCCATATGCAAAAGACCTTGAAGGTTCCATATGCAACTGACATTCCAACTGCCTTGCGGGGAGGGGGGGGAGTATGAGGTGTGGAATGCAGTGAAGTCCAATCAGCTTCCATATGCAAAAGACCTTGAAGGTTCCATATGCAACTGACATTCCAACTGCCTTGCGGGGAGGGGGGTGAGTTTGAAGTGTGGAATGCAGTGAAGTCCAATCAGCTTCCATATGCAAAAGACCTTGAAACACTGGGCGGGACTGCACAAAGCAGCCAGTCAACCCAGCCAGCGTCTTCTGACTGACAGTTCAAGTGTCCATACACCAAAGGAGTGCATTTTAGAACTTTGGCACCCACTACTCAATTATATATAAGGAGAGATGACTAGATGGCGCTCCCCAGTCCAGAATCCCCGTACCTCCAGTACTTGTCTTCGTGAAAGAGCAGGGCCTTGCCACGGCCCTTCTGCAGTACCCCGAAGATCTTTGGCACGTCTCTGCTGATGCCCAGCTTCTCAATGCTCCGCGGGCCCAAAACTCTTGTCCCCTGGTACACCCAGAAGCGCTGGCCTGCAGGACACACAGAGAGAGAGTGAGTGCGCGGCTTGAAGTGGGCGGCCCTCTGCCCACAAATGGGTCACAGGCTCCTCTTGGAAGGTGCCCCTGAAACAGGCCCACAGCGGTCATCTCTGGGCCCCAGGACTGCCTGGCTTGCCACGGAGGTGGAGGGAGACCTCCGCTGGGTTCTGGCTGGAGCATTTGGGTCTTCTGTATTGAAAACAGATCAGCCAATATCATAATGTCCCTTTCACAGTCACTAGTCCCAGGGGAGTCCGGTAATTTACCCGTATCGCATACAATCTTTCTCGAGGGCCATGATGTACATACAGGACATAAGCAGTCTAAGCTGAGTTAGTGTGAGCTAGCTCACAGTTTTTTAGCCTCCATCTCACGGATTTTTGTCTTAGCTCAGACAAGATGGCTCCAGAGCAAACTAGCTTATGCAGTAGCCAAATCGCTCACTCACAACTTTAATGACAAAACCAAACAAGGACCCATGGTAAGTAGGAAAACCAACATACAACAAGTACCGTGCACAGATGATTATAACATATCATAAATAATTTTATATTTTTTGAAAAATATTTTTACAATAATTTGTACATATATAATAAATCATCTTAATCAAAAATATCAAAAATCATCTCCAAGAATCTCAAAAGCTATTTTACAACCTTTAATAATAGTCCTCGTGTTGGAGGAAGACACGAGCACATGTTATAAAGAGACTTTAAGGAGTCCTCCCTCTTAAAAAAACTTTATTTAACAGAGGTGGACTATTATTAAAGGTTGTACAATAGCTTTTGAGATTCTTGGAGATGATTTTTGATATTTTTGATTAAGATGATTTATTATATATGTACAAATTATTGTAAAATATTTTTCAAAAAATATAAAATTATTTATGATATGTTATAATCATCTGTACAACTTTAATGACAGCAGCTCACAAAGTTGGAAGTTTTGCTCACAAGACTCCACAGCTTAGAGGGAGCATTGGACTAAGGCGCAATAATTTCTCTTTGTGAGTATAAAACTCTTAAAACAGCAAATGGCGGCATATTTTCTAGGGTGCCACCGGAACCCCTGTGGCAGACATAATAACCTGCCTAGGAGAACACGTCTCTCTCAAGTTCAACCAGGCAGCCTGGTGTTTAAAAAAAAGAAAAATAAAAAGCACAAAATAGATCTGCCTTAAACACACATCTATTGTACGCAGTGCTATATACTTTTCCATACCCACCCTGGAAGTTGGCAACCCAAACGCAGGACTATGCCTCTGATGTTCCCTCTAAGCTGAGTTAGTGTGAGCTAGCTCACAGTTTCTTAGCCTCCGGCTCACACATTTCTGTCATAGCTCAGGAGGGATGGGGCTCCAGAGCAAACTGATGTATGCAGCAGCCAAATCACTCGCTCACAACTTTAATGCCAGGAGCTCACAAAGCAGTATTTTTTGCTCACAAGACTCCACGGCTCAGAGGGAGCATTGCCTTTGGTGTCTTTCGGATGGACCCTGGGGAGCTGGGGGGGGGGTTGAGAGAGATCCCTGCAAGGGCCACGCACCAGAGAAGAAGAAGAGCTTCTTGGTCAGCTTATCCTGGAAGGCGGCATCGACCACATCGGGGAGGGCTGGCCAGGTGTCCTGGATCCGCAGCGGGCCTTTGATCGGCCCCATTCCTGCCGCCGGCTTCTTCCAGTATTGCCTGGAGGGGGGACGGATGGGGGGGGGTCAAAGTGCCTGTGAGCTGGGAGGGGGAGGGAGACCAGGAACTGCCCCTCCCCAAGCGATGCATCCTTTTATCTGTTTCTGGACTGATGTGGGGCATTTACGTACCCTCCTGCCTTTCCCCTGTCACAGTCAGGGCACAGGTCTGTGCTCTCTCTCTCTCTCTCTCTCTCTCTCTCTCTCTCTCTCTCTCACACACACACACACACACACAAACCCACAGCCTTCCCTGCTAGCAGCCCCCCCCCCCCTCCTCCCCCACACCCGTGCACCAGGATCTCCCCCCCGCCCAGAGACACGCAGCCGCTGCTCACCCGTTCTTGAAGAGGTACAACTCCTTCTTGATCTGCGTCACGGCATCGAAGCCCTGGACTTTGCAGGCGTCACTCGTGGGCTCCACCGGGGTGGACTCGGTCACGGAGCCGTCCTCGCCCGAGGTAGACGTGTCATCAGCCTCCGTGGTGGTTTGGGTGGGGACGTCGGGCCTTTGGGTGGGGACGTCGGGCCTTTGGGTGGGGACGTTGGGCCTTCGAGTGGGGACGTCGGGCCTTCGAGTGGGGGGGCTGGGCCCAGTCCCGGAACCTAGAAGTGGAGGGGAGCGCTGTGTAAGACGAGGGGGCTGTGCCCATCTGGTGTGGCAAAAGATCCCTGCCACTGGGGGGAAGGGCGGGCTCAGTGAGGGCCTGGCAGGTTCCGAAGCCGCTGGGTGCCCGGTGAGCCACCGGAGGTAGTGCCACCCATCACAGCAGCGGCTCCTGAGCACCAGGGTGGTGGAGAGCCAGGTGCCAGTCACTCTCTCCGAGGAGGGAAGAGGACCTCGGTGCAAGAATTTCTCTTCTTCTCTGCATCGTTCAGTTTAGACGTTTGCCTCCTGCAATCTGCGCACACACCCCCCCCGAACTGGTTCGTCAGCCAGCTTCCAACCAAACGAACGTTCCTAAGGAGAATTTAGTGGCGAGGGGGTGTCTGGCCTGGCAGGACACACGCACAAACACACACACAAACCAGGCTTCCACTCACCGTAGAGGAACTGGATTCCAGCCACGTCGTCCGAGTGCAGGTGGAAATCAGCAACGTAGCGATACATGGGATACATCAGGGCGTCCTGAATGCTGGAATGCTCCAAGCCCAGCGAGTGGCCAAACTCATGCGCAGCCACCAGGAAGAGGCTGTACCCTGCAAGGCACAAGGCAGCTGCAGGAGAAGGCAGAGCTCTGACACACACACACACACCCCCGAGCCCTCCCCGAACTCCCCAGTGTCGTCGCCCCCCCCCCGGGCACCAAGGATTCCTGAGCCCAGCAGGGCCACAGCTGATGCCCCTCCCCACATCCTACACACACACACACACACCACCTTCACTGGGGTCATAAGAATGTAAGAACAGCCCTCCTGAGCCCAACCAGTGAGGGCCCCTCTAGTCCAACCTCCTGTCTCACAGAGTGGCCAATAGGGTCGCCAGGTCTGGCCTGGGAAATGCCTGGAGACTTTGGGGGTGGAGCCAGGAGAAGGCGGGGTTTGGAGAGGGGAGGGGCCTCAGCATAGTACAACGGCAAAGAGTCCTCCCTTCAAAGCAGCCCTTTTCGCCTGGGGAGCTGATCTCTGTCAGCTGGAGATCAGTTGACAAAGCGGGAGATCCTCAGGCCCCACCTGGAGGCTGGCAACCTTAGTGGTCAACAACAGGGCAGAGAGGCCGAGACCTTCATAAGAACATCATAGAATCACAGAGTTGGAAGGGGCCAGACAGGCCACCTAGTCCCACCCCCTGCTCCATCCAGGGTCAGCCTAGAGCATCCCTGACAACGGTTTGTCCAGCTGCTGCTTCAAGACTGCCAGGGAGGGGGCGCTCACCACCTCCCCAGGCAGCCCATTCCACTACTGCACAACTCTGACTGTCAAAAGGTTTTTCCTAATATCCAGAAGAGTCCTGCTGGATCACACCAGTGAAGGTCCATCAACCCCAGCATATCCCATCTCACACAGTGGCCAACCAGTTCCTCTGGAGGGCCAACAACGGGGCAGAGAGGCTGAGGCCTTCATAAGAACCTCAGAAGAGCCCTGCTGGATCAGACCAGCGAGGGTCCACCTAGTTCAGCCTTCTGTCTCACACAGTGGCCAGCCAGTTCCTCTGGAGGGCCAACAACGGGGCAGAGAGGCTGAGGCCTTCATAAGAACCTCAGAAGAGCCCTGCTGGATCAGACCAGCGAGGGTCCACCTAGTTCAGCCTTCTGTCTCACACAGTGGCCAGCCAGTTCCTCTGGAGGGCCAACAACAGGGCAGAGAGGCCGAGGCCTTCGTAAGAACATTGGAAGAGCCCTGCTGGATCAGACCAGTGAGGGTCCATCTAGTCCAGCCTCCTGTCTCACACAGTGGCCAGCCAGTTCCTCTGGAGGGCCGACAACAGGGCAGAGAGGCCGAGGCCTTCGTAAGAACATCGGAAGGGCCCTGCTGGATCAGACCAGTGAGGGTCCATCTAGTCCAGCCTCCTGTCTCACACAGTGGCCAGCCAGTTCCTCTGGAGGGCCGACAACAGGGCAGAGAGGCCGAGGCCTTCGTAAGAACATCGGAAGGGCCCTGCTGGATCAGACCAGTGAGGGTCCATCTAGTCCAGCCTCCTGTCTCACACAGTGGCCAGCCAGTTCCTCTGGAGGGCCAACAACGGGGCAGAGAGGCTGAGGCCTTCATAAGAACCTCAGAAGAGCCCTGCTGGATCAGACCAGCGAGGGTCCACCTAGTTCAGCCTTCTGTCTCACACAGTGGCCAGCCAGTTCCTCTGGAGGGCCAACAACAGGGCAGAGAGGCCGAGGCCTTCGTAAGAACATCGGAAGGGCCCTGCTGGATCAGACCAGTGAGGGTCCACCTAGTCCAGCCTACTGTCTGACACAATGGCCAGCCAGTACTCTGGAGAGCCAACAACACGGCACAGAGGCCAAGGCCTTCCCCCAATGTGGCCTCCTGGCTCCAGGAGTCAGAGGCTGACTGAACGTGGGGTCCCCTTCATTCACCATGGCTGCTAGCCACTGATAGACCTCTCTCCTCCATGGAGGAAATGGCTCCTTTGGAGGGTGGACTCTGTGGCCCTGCACCCCACTGAGGTCCCTTTTAAAACCATCTGTGCCTGTGGCCCCCGTTGTGCTATCCCCCCTTTAGTGGGAAGGGTGGTCCCGCCCGCCCTCACTCCCCACCAGGTCTGAGCCCCCATCACTGCCGGAGGGGGGACCCTCTATTGCCCACCTCTCCCCCAGGGACTGAGCGTGGCTGGTGGCCCTCAGGCGGGGCCGCACATCCCAGTGGGGGAAAGCAGACCCCTCCGTGCCTGCCGGGTCAGGGGCAGGAGACCCAGGTGGCACCAACCTTTATCGGGGCAGAAGCCCCACTTCTTATCCGTGTCGTAGTCGCTGGTGGTGGCACACCACAGCTTCCCGTCGGACCGTCCCTCGGAGGTGCAGGCGCTGTACGTCTGGCGCAGGAAGGTGAAAGGGAAGACACACTCCTCGCCGGGGGAGTTCCCGCCGAACACGGCCGTGTCTGCAGAGGAGGGGGCAGTGAGCAGAGGCCGGAAGAGCACCGGCCTCCGAGGGGGGCCCTTACTGAACAGCCGTTCTGGCCAAGGAGGCACACCAGCCCCACCCAGGAGTCGCACACACGTGGGCAATGCATCCAGATGGCAGCTGCAGCAGGGGCCCACAGCTCTGCCCCTCACCTCTCCTGTGGCAAGAGGCAACGTGGGCACTCCGGCAATTCTATGGGGTTTGAAAGGGCCGGAAGCCCTGTCCCCAGCACGTGCAGGGCCCCTGTTTTGCCAGCCCTGGGCCTCAAGTTTGGTGTGAAACTCGGCTCGCTGAGGCTCGGCTACCCAGCAGCAATGCTGGGATAGGACTTCTCCACCCCCCGGCAGGGAAGAAGAAGGACCCGGCCAGGACACCCCCGCCCCACTGGCCAGGCCGGAGCCCCAGCCCCTCCCGAAGCACGCCCCCTACCTCTGGTGGGGCAGAAGCCGTATTTCTTGTCCTGGTCAAAGTTGTCAGTGGTCGCGCACCAGCGGTAGCCGTCCGTGCGCCCCTCGGTGGTGCAGCCGTCGTAGGACTTGCCCTCGAAGACGAAGGGGAAGACACACTTTGCTCCGTCGCTGTTCCCGTCGAAGGTGTACAGAACTGGAAAGCGACGGCGGAGAAAAGGGCCTCGGTCAGACAGCCCCCCCCGGGGGGGGTTAGAAGGGTTGCTCTCCCCCAGCAGGGAGTTCTGCAGAAAAGGCGGCACCATGGCCAGGACCACACTAGACCACACGTGGGAGTCCGGCCGCCTCGTGGCCCCTCCGACGTGGCGGCTGAGAGAGCACAGAGGAGCCCTCCAGGGGAAGGCCTCAGGGTTGCCCCCGAGGGGACCCCCTCCCCCCACAGACTGACGCTGGGCTCCGCTCCCCTTCCAAGTCCCTCCTCCCCAGCTAGTAGGGATGCCAGCCTCCAGGCGGGGCCTGGGGATCCCCCGGAATCACAGCGCTTCTCCCGTCTGCAGAGAGATCAGTTCCACCGGAGGAAACGGCTGCTTCGGATGGGGGAGTCTCTGTGGCATGGTGCCCCCCCCACTGAGGCCCCGTCCTTCCCGGGTTCCAGCCCCACATCTCCTGGAGTTTCCCAGCCTGCACCTGGCCACCCGACCAGCCACATCTCTCCCCCCCTCCCCGCAAAGCTTGCATGTGCCCTGAGGGAAGGGTCTGGACCAATGCTCCCTCTAAGCTGTGGAGTCCGGTGAGCAGAACGGGAAATGCTGCTCAGCCCCAGTGCCCTGCAGGGCCCTCCCTGTCCCTCCCCTCCCCCCACCCCCATCCCAGGGCAGAGAGAGAGAGAGCGCAAACACATCTGCATCACAGCCGAGGAAGGGAAGCCCTCAGGCGCATAGTGCGTGGAGGGGAGCTGCAGAGGTCTTAGGCCCTGTCTGTTCCCCTCCCTCGCCTGCCCCCCGCAGCCTGCTCTTACGTTCGCTGGGGCAGAATCCATAGGTCTTGTCCTGGTCGAAGCTGGCCGTGGTGGCGCACCAGGGCAAACCATCCGAGCGACCATCGGTGGTGCACGTGGAGTAGGACTTTCCCTCAAAGATGTAGGGGAAGTGGCAGAGGGCCCCGTTGGCGTTCCCGTAGTAGGTCTTCACCACTGCCAGGGGGAGAAAAGGAGACATAGATGGCCGGATGGCCAAAGGGGTAGGCTGGATGGGTTTAAGTTACGGGCAGGAAGGTACCAGCTGGATATTAGGGGGGAAATTTACAGTAGTTCATCAGTGGGATTGCTAAGGGTGGTGGTGAGCTCCCCCTCCCTGGCAGTTGTCAAGCAGCGGCTGGACAAACCCTTGTCAGGGATGTTCTAGTCTAGGCCGATCCTGCACTGAGCAGGGGGTTGGACTAGATTGCCTTTATGGCCCTTTCCAACTGCGATCCTAGGATTCTGTAGGCTGGCTCTCCCTCCCCTAGGTTGGTCTCTGGAGGGAGCCAAGGGTTCGAGTCCCGCTCCTGAAGCACGGCCTGACTCACCACTTCCAGTGCCCAGAGTCCAGGATTCGTCATCGTCAAAATGGGCGTCTCCGCTAAAGCGGTCTTTGCCCGGAGGGAAGGCGTGTGCCAGGAGCCCATCCTTGCCGTCAAAGGGGTAGCCATCGCCATGTTCTGGGGACACAAACCAGCAGGCAGCTAGCTGGTCAGGCTCCGCGTTCGAGAGAGACTCCGGGGGGGGCACGTCAGCCTTTGTGCCCTGCAGATGCTGCCCCTCCCCTGGCCCGCCCAGCCCTCACAGACCCACGGCGGCCCTCCCTCTCCTCACCCACCTTCAGTTCCAAACCGGATCTCAATGTCGACCTTCCCTCTCTCCTTGCGCGTGAACGTGAGCGGCGTGACATCACTCCACACCTTGAAGGCCCTTTGGAAGGCGTCCTCTATGATGGAGGCGTCCAGGTCAGGCGAGTAGTTCAGCACTCTGGGGGAGGGGGGGGGACACACCAAGATCAGGAGCCATGCCAATGGGACTGTGTTCCCTCTAAGCTGAGTTAGTGTGAGCTAGCTCACAGTAGTTTAGCCTCCGGCTCACACATTTTTGTCTCCGCTCAGGAAGGAACAAACTAATTTACGCAGCAGCCAAATCACCTGCTCACCACTTTAATGGCAGCAGCTCATCAAGTGGAATTTTTGCTCACAAGACTCCGCAGCTGAGAAGGAAGGAGCATTGCAGCCAGTGTCCCCTCTAAGCTGAGTGAGTGTGAGCCAGCTCACAGTTTTTGAGCCTCTGGCTCACCCATTTTTGTCTCCGCTCAGGAAGGAGGGCTCCGGAGCAAACTAGTTCATGCAGCAGCCAGATCGCTCGCTCACAGCTTTACTCCCAGTATCTCACAAAGCAGAATTTTTGCTCACAAGAAGACTCGGCAGCTTTCAAGCCAGAGCACTGGAAGTGGCAGAGCCAGCTTGTGCGGGGGGGGGGGTTGGAATCGACTGGCCACCCCCTGGACCATTCTCTGCAGCTTACCCCCACAGTGCCGGCCTCTGGGACAGGAAGCCCCAGGAGGTCTGAGGGTGGAGCCTGGGGAGGGGAGGGGTTTGGAGAGGGGAAGGGCCTCCGCAGGCTAGAAGGCCAGGAAGGGCACCCTCCAAAGCAGCCGTTTCCCCCCAAAGGAACTGACCTCTGTTGCCTGGAGATGAACTGTGATCCCAGGAGAGCTTCGGGCCCCGCCTGGGGGCTGGCAACCCTGGGCACAGAGTGGCCCAAAGAGTTCCAGCTGGAGAGGGAACCTGGCCAGTGCTGGGCTCTCCCTCTTTCCCACCGTGCACAGAAACTGAGACTTTAGATCACGGCGGAAAGGTCCTCCTGACAAAGAAGCTCATTTGGTGGCTATGTGATAAAGGGCCTTTTGGGTGGCGGCCCCACGGCTATGGAACAATCTCCCCGGAAGATGCGCCTGGCCTCCCTCACTGTTGATCTTGAAGAGGCCGCTGAAGACGGTTTTATTGAGGACCAGGGCATTTTTTCCCTGGGGGAATGTGCCGGAATGGAGCCCCAGAATTTATTCGACAAAATTCTTTTTAAAATGTTTGAGTTTTCAGTATACAGATTGAAAACTCCATTTCCCTCTTGAGGTGTTCGGGCACCTCTCTCTTTTTTTTTTAAAGCCCTGTTTAGGACTGCATTTGATTAAAGCAGTCTGGAGCTGTGATTTTAAATGTTGGTTTTATGTATTCTTTTTAATGTATCTTATTTGTAAGCTACCTTGAGCTTCGTGATGTTTTAATGTTTTAAATAAAATAAAATAAATACACCAGTTTGGTGTGGTGGTTAAGTGCGCGGACTCTAATCTGGGAGAACCAGGTTTGATTCCCCACTCCTCCACGTGCAGCTGCTGGTGTGACCTTGGGTCAGTAATAAGTTCTTTCAGAGCTGTTCTCTCAAGGGCAGTTTCTGCCAGAGCTCTCTCACCCCCACCTACCTCACAGGGTGTCTGTTGTGGGGAGGGGAAGGGAAAGGAGATTGTAAGCCACTCTGAGACTCCCTTGGGTAGTGAAGGGCGGGGTATAAATCCAATCTCTTCTTCTAAATAACTATGAGGCAGCCAAAGGGGAGGGGCTGTGGCTCACTGGTAGAGCCTCTGCTTGGCATGCAGAAGGTCCCAGGTTCAAGCCCTGGTATCTCCCATTAAAAGGACCAAGTAGCAGGTGATGGGAAAGACCTTTCTCTTCCTGAGACCCTAGAGAGCCACTGCCAGGCTGAATAGACAAGACTGAACATTGATGGACCAAAGGTCTGATTCAGTAGATGGCAGCTTCATGTGCTCGGAGGCCCACTCTGTGCCTGAACTCACTGGTAGGTGATGTCGGTGTGGTCCCACTTGAGGTCCCCCTGGAAAGTCTGGAAGCTGCCAACGTCCGGAACTCCGCAGCGAGGGGCTCGCATGGCATCCAGGGTTGGGGAGTCCAACTGCCCCGTCTCCTTCAAGCCCAGCCTCTGCTGCATCTTCTTGAGAGCAGAGGCCAGGGTCACCTGACCGCCGCCGCCCGAAATCTCCGACTCTTTTAAATATCCAAAATGCTGGAGGTAGTGCTGGAAGGGAACAGGAGGAAGAAGGTGGGCATCGGATGACGCTGGCAGACAGAGACAGGTACACGCAGGCCCCCCCACATGCACAGTGCAGGTGAAAACAGATTTTTGAAACTGTGCTCCCAGAGGCCGTAGAGGGCAAAGCGGAGCTATGGATCTGTGCCCTTCCTCTGCGCTGGGAAGGGATTCCGGAGTCTCCAGGGTCCCAGCTGCTGTAGACCCTGAGAGCCACTCATCTCCAGACAAGGAGGCTGCAGGGCAGAACCGCTGAACTAGAACGTACCGGCAGGCTCCATTCTATTCACAATGGACCTAACTGGCATTCTGGGTTTCTTTCCCCTCGAGGGGGATTCGCTGAGAATGGCACGGCTAGAAAGCCTGCTGCTGCAAATGGGCCAGTTCTGATCATGTACCCAATTGGGCTCCCGGATCCTCCCAGACCCACCTCCTAGGGTCGTTGGACCCACTGCTTGCAAAATGTTTTTCTCCATGCCTGTTTCTGCAGGTAGCTGATAACCGAGGCCAATCCTGCGTAGGGCTGCCCCGCCCCTTCTGCCACCCACACCTCCGCCGACCGGATCCGACTCCTCCAGGAGCACCTTCGGGACCGGCAAGGTTTTCAGGTCCGGGGTGGGGGGTCGCCCTGTTAGTCTGAAGCAGCAGGACCCACGTCTGTCTGAGTCCCAGCCGGGACACCTCGGAGACCAACCAAGTCTTATTCTAGGTATAAACTTTCCTGGGCATGCACCCTTCACTGCGCGCATACTGTGTGCACGGAAAAGCTTGTGCCCAGAATAAACCTTGGTTGGTCTTCAACGGAGGCCTTTGACTCTGGGAAGCATCCCCCCCCCCGAATCTCGCTGGTCTCAAAGGCGCTCCTGGACTCTCATCTAAGTGCCCCCCTCCCGCTCAGCCCAGCTGCCCTTTAGGAAAGAACACCAGCTCGTGTAGCCCCTGCGAGGATCCTGGTCCTGTCCTCCCCCTCCAGGGTGTCCTGGGCAAATACGCAGCCCACAAGGGTGTGTGTATCGCCCGTGGTCTGGTGGGGGCAGGGGCGGATCCAGGCTCACTGACCCATCTTGGTGCCCCCCCCCCGCTCCTTTCCACACTGACCCCCAGTCCCTTTTAGCTGTTGACCTGTCTGACCAGATAGACAATGCAGGATGCAGCCATACAAACATTTATTCATAGGATAGCACCATAGACGGTACCAACTAAGGTTTTCACCCTTTCCCCAACTTTGTGGTGCCTCCCTGGCACCCTAAGCACCTACTTCGTCTGCTTCATGGTTAATCTGCCCCTGGGGGGGGTCATCGGGCCCCCCCCGCCCCCATCAGTCTTCCATCCAGCACAAAGGAGACCATGTCAAAGCCGGCTCCCCCCCACCCCCAGAGCTGGGATGAGAACCTGTTCGTTTCACATGCCGACACGCGCGCACGCACACACACACACACACACACAAACTGGTGTCTGTCAAGGGCGCACCGGAGCAGCAACTTGGGGGGAAGGGGGGGTCACCGCCGGGCAGGCGGCCAAGAGACCTCCGGTCTTGCCGGGCACAGACCACCCAGGACAGGCGCGTCCACCAGAAGCTGAAGCCAGGGTTGGCCGAAGAAGCCCGACGTGCGTTTGCGGGCCCTGCCGAGAGAGCCGTCGAGGCGGCGCCCGTCCTCCCTGAAGAAGACCCACCCGCCACCAGCAGCAGTCTCGGCACTGACTTAGGCGCACCTCCACGTGGGCCGGCCCACCGCGGTCCCCAATGGAGCCCCATTCTCCCTCCGCCCCTCCACCGCACCCCCCCCTCGGCGGCCCCCTGGCTGGGAGGTCTCTGGAAGCAGAGCCGGGCGGGGGGCGGCGGGCGGCGGGCGGCGCTCCTCCCGTAGGTCTCCTCCCGAACAAGCAGCGGCACTTACGGTGGCCAGCTCCACGTCGCTCCGCTGGCTGACCAGCTCCCCGGGGAAGGAGATGACTACCGGCGCCTGCTCCTGCTGGAGCGGGACGGCCGTCGAGGGACGGCCCAGGGACAGGAGCCCCAGGAGGAGGAGGAGGAGGGCCAGCCCCATCTCTGCTTGCGCGTCTGCCGGCGACCGTGCTGTCCTCGGGGTGCGGAGCGGGTGGCGGATCCTCTGCAGCGCTGCCTGATGCACGCCGCCGGCCCCGCCGCCGGCCCATTTATCCTCGGAGGACCCGGCGGGCGGGCGGGGGGGTGAGTCACCCTCCACCCCGCCCCGGAGTCACCGGCTTCTCTCTCGGGAGGGGCAGGAGGGATTGCAGAAGCAGCCTGTGCCCGGTTGGCCACTTCCGGCGGGGCTGTCTCAACTCTCTGTTCACTAACCCACAGGATGTGTGAAAGCCAGGCAGGACCCCCCCCCCCACCAGCCAGCCAGCCATGTCCGGACCCTGCTGCCCCTCTTCAGGGAGAGGGGGGAGAAGTCCTCCCTGAGGGGCTGCCGGGTGGGACTCTCCCTGGGTGCACGAGAAGCCTGGGCTGGCCCTTGACACTTGGCCTCTCCTGGTCTTGAAGGAGAACATCAGAGAAGGGCCCTGCTCGCTCAGGCCAGGCAGGGCCCATCGAGTCCAGGGTTCCCTCTCAGCTGAGTTACATTTTTGTCTCAGCTCAGGAAGGAGGGCTCCAGAGCAAACTGATTTGTGCAGCAGCCAAATCGCTCATGGCTCACAACTTTGAAGAGAAGAGAGAAGAGATTGGATTTATACCCAATGGCCCTTCACTACCCAAAGGAGTCTCAGAGCGGCTCACAAACTCCTTTCCTTTCCCTTCCCCTCCCCACAACAGACACCCGGTGAGGTCGGTGGGGCTGAGAGAGCTCTTGACAGCAACGGCTCTTTCAGGAACAGCTGTGCCAGAGCTTGTGACTGACCCAAGGTCACATCAGCCCGTGCAAGTGGAGGAGTGGGGAATCAAACCCGGTTCTCCCAGATTAGAGTCCGTGCACTTAATCACTACACCAAACTTTAATGCCAGGAGCTCACAAAGTAGAATTTTTGCTCACAAGACTCCACAGCTTAGAGGGAGCCTTTCTGGCACAGAGGCCTGCCTCCTTTCTGGGACCTGGCCTCCTAGCCCTGGGGTTCATTGGAGCTGGTAGCCATGGAGGGGCCTGCCCTCCACAAACCACCTGCCCAATCCACCTGGGAGAAGAGAAGAGAAGAGAAGAGAGAAGAGATTGGATTTATACCCCGCCCTTCACTACCTGAAGGAGTCTCAGAGCGGCTGACAAACTCCTTTCTCTCCCCCTCCCCACAACAGACAGACACCCAGTGAGGTAGGCGGGGCTGAGAGAGCTCTGGCAGAAACGGCTCTTTTCCAAGCACAGCTCTTGTCAGAACTACAGCTTGCCCAAGGCCATCCAGCCAGGTGCAAGTGGAGGAGGAGTGGAGGATCAAACCCGGTTCTCCGCAGATTAGACTCTACATAAGAACATAAGAACATAAGAGACGCCAATGTTGAATCAGGCCAAAGGCCCATCCAGTCCAACACTCTGTGTCACACAGTGGCCAGAAATACCAGTGCCATCAGAAGGTCCAGCAGTGGGGCCAGGACATTAGAAGCCCTCCCACTGTTGACCCCCCCCCAAGCACCAAGAAGACAGAGCATCACTTGCCCCAGAGCCCCTAGCTATACCTTGTGGCTAATAGCCACTGATGGACCTCTGCTCCATATGCTTATCTAATTCCCTTTTGAAGCCATCCATGCTTGTAGCACCCACCACTTCCTGTGGCAGTGAATTCCAAGTGTTAATCACTCTTTGGGTGAAGAAGGACTTCCTCTTATCCGTTCTAACCATCTTTTCTCCAAGCTAAAGAGCCCTAAGCGCTTTAACCTTTCCTCATAGGGAAAGTGTTCCAACCCTTTTATCATTCGAGTTGCCCTTTTCTGCACTTTTTCCAAAGCTATAATATCCTTTTTAAGGTGTGGTGCCCAGAACTGCACACAGTATTCCAAATGAGGTCTCACCATTGATTTATATAGGGGCATTATTATATTGGCTGATCTGTTTTCAATACCCTTCCTAATAATCCCCAGCATAGCATTGGCCTTCTTTATTGCAGTCACACACTGTCTCGACATTTTCAGTGAGTTATCCACTACAACTCCAAGATCTCTCTCTTGCTCAGTCTCTGCCAGTTCAGACCCCATCAATGTGTATTTATATTTAGGATTTTTGGCTCCAATGTGCATCACCTTGCACTTGGCCACATTGAACCCCATTTGCCATGTTGACGCCCACTCGCCCATCCTTGACAGATCCCCTTGGAGTGCCTCACAATCCTCACTGGTTTTCACCACCCTGAACAACTTTGTATCATCCGCAAATTTAGCCACTTCACTGCTTACTCCCATCTCCAAATCATTAATGAACAAGTTAAAAAGCAGTGGACCAAGTACTGATCCCTGCGGTACCCCACTGCTTACCACCCTCCACTGAGAAAATTGCCCACCTACACTCACTCTCTGTTTTCTATGAACTAGCCAGTTTTTGATCCATAAAAGGACTTGTCCTTCTATCCCATGATTTTTGAGCTTACTTAGGAGCCTTTGATGAGGAACTTTATCAAAAGCTTTCTGGAAGTCAAGGTAAATAATATCTATTGGATCCCCCTTGTCCACATGTTTGTTCACCCCCTCAAAGAACACTAACAGGTTAGTGAGACAAGATCTTCCCTTACAGAAACCGTGCTGAGTCTGCCTCAATAGGTTTTGTTCATCTATGTGCCTACTAATTCTTTCCTTAATAATGGTTTCCACCAATTTACCCGGTATCGACGTCAGACTGACTGGCCTGTAATTTCCCGGATCTCCTCTGGAACCCTTTTTAAAGATGGGAGTGACATTAGCTACCTTCCAATCCTCAGGAATGGAGGCAGATTTTAAGGAAAGATTACATATCTTTGTCAGGAGATCTACAAGTTCACATTTGAGTTCTTTCAGAACTCTCGGATGTATGCCATCTGGGCCTGGTGATTTTTCAGTTTTTAAGTTGTCTATCAGTTTTAGGACCTCCTCTCTCGTCACCTCAATCTGACTCAGGTCTTTCAACACCCCTCCTGAAATCAGTGGTTCTGGAGTGGGCAAGCACTTCTCATCTTCCACAGTGAAGACGGAGGCAAAAAATGCATTTAGCTTCTCAGCCATTTCCCTATCATCCTTCAATACTCCTTTTACCCCTTGGTCGTCCAAGGGCCCCACTGCCTCCCTGGCTGGTTTCCTGTTTCTAATGTATTTGAAGAAAGTTTTATTGTTGGTTTTTACGTTTTTTGCTATATGCTCCTCATATTCCCTTTTTGCCTGCCTGACCTCAGACTTGCATTTTATTTGCCATAGCCTCTGTTCCGTTTTATCAGCCTCACTGTGACTAGCTTTCCACTGCTTAAAGGAATTCTTTTTACTTTTTACAGCCTCCATTACTCTGTTTGTTAACCATGCAGGCTTTTTCCTCTACGCACTTAACCACGACACCAGTATGGCTCTCCACAGAATGTATGAAACCTAGCAAGGACAAGCAAGCGGGGTGTATGACCATGTGCGCATGCATGTGTCTGGATCGTGACCATATGCAGAAAAGGGGGGGAGGTTTCCCTCCTCCTCCTCCACTCCAGCTCACCCCTTCAGTGAGAGGCTCTGGGATCTGGTCTTTCCTTTCATGCCCTGTGCTCAGGAGTCAACAAAGTGCCTCTTTCCCAGGTCCATTTTCCCGGTGTGCTCCTAGTGTCTTCTGCAGGAATACAGAGGGACAGAGAGGCCTCCTGCTCATGTGTGTGTGTGAGCAGAGCCCTCAAGCCCCAGCTAGGGGCTTTCCAGGCGAGCGAGAAGCAGAGGTGGTCTGCCCTTGCCTTCCTCGGCAGAGTCTTCCTTGGTGAAGAGAAGAAGAAGAAGAGATTGGATTTATACCCCATGGCCCTCCGCTACCCAAAGGTGTCTCAGAGCAGCTTACAACCTCCTTTCCCTCCCCCTCCCCACAACAGATACCCAGTGAGGTGGGTGGGGCTGAGAGAGCTCTGACAAAAACGGCTCTTTTTCAAGGACACCTCTTGACAGAACTACGGCTTGCCCAAGGTCGTCCAGCCAGGTGCAAGTGGAGGAAGAGTGGGGAATCAAACCCGGCTCTCCCAGATTAGAGTCCTCTGCACACTTAACCATTACACCAAACTGGTGGTTTCGCTTCCAAGCACCAGCCCTACTTAGCTTCTGAGATCTGGGGAGGCCAGGCTCTCCCATGCCGCCTTCCCTCCCCAGGGACTGAATTGACACTCTGCATCTCATGGCTGTTAAGAAGTCTTACACAGTATACTGTCATGCGGGTTTTGGAGATCATAAATGACTGTGCGTTGGAGCCACTAGCCAGAGAGCCAACTAGATTGGTCGTGACCAGGGGTCATTTCCTGCAGGAGCGCACGGGAGCGGAGCTCTGGCAGTAAAGAGCCCAGGGGGCGGGCACATGCAACAAGCCCCACCCCCTGCTCCCAGCAGCCCTCAGTCAGAGCAAGAAGCAGCCAGGTAAGTTGCAGAGCCCCCCACCCAGCCCCCTGACCCAAAACAGTCCAGTGGCACCTTTAAGACCAAGTTTTATTCAGGTACAAGCTCTCCCTCCTCTGCGAGGACAGATCTGCACATCTCCCCCCCCCCAATAGCTAGCAATCCAAAACAGCCCAATGGCACCTTTAAGACCAAGTTTTATTCAGGTACAAGCTCTCCCTCCTCTGCGAGGACAGTTCTGCACATCTCCCACCCCCCCAGCGC